AAAAAAAAATAGCGAAGGGCGAGCAACTCTTGGAAAAGACAGTAAAATAGGAAGTACTCACTTTAAAGAGAAAGTAAAGATCGCGAACGAGTCCATTGACGAACTCAGCGTCGATAATTTTGGGAAGTATAAGATCGCGAATTTCGTCTGAAAAAGGAACTTTGGCCATCGGAAGCCACGCCCAATAGAATGGATCTAGGGTCAAAAATGTACTTCGTAAGAATCCTTCTTTGCGTTGAAATAAAACTGGGTTATATGAAACTTTGAAGCACGTTCAAAATCTTAAAGTACATGTATCGATAGGAGCTTCCGTCGAAGACGGTTTATGTACGGTCGCTAGCCAGCTATGCCCTAATCACCGGCCTCGAAAACTCGGGACTCGAGGCCTCATTTTAACTGTTAAGACAGGCGAACGTCATTCCTACGTGAGTAAGACATACCTCATGATAATAAAAACGGCTCGAAACTCTATGTATAGGAAGTGCAGGAAAGGCTGGCTGACTCATCAAAGCCAGAACATACTGCGACACAGACTGACAAATCAATGTCGTAATGGAATACAAAATCGGTGAAAAATACCAAGGGTGTTGAAAAGGGCAAGCCCAAGATATGCACTCCACAATGTTATGGGCCTATTTTAGCACAGTGTATGCTGTCTTAAAAAGTCTGTCGGAAGATGGATTATAGCCTTCAATAAACAAGATAAAACAGTACAGAATAAAAGCTACAAGGCTTCCCCGCCAAATAAGGTGTCGTTAAGCCTATTTTCAGCACATTTGTCAGATCTCCGTATTAAACACTACAGCGTCATTAACTTCATTAATATCTTCACAGGCGTCTTTTCAAATCACCTACGCTTGTACTGCGATGCGCGCATATGAATGAGTCTGCACGGTTTTAGGCCTGGGCGGGGATGTGTTGAACCAAGGGTCTCCTTATGTCAAATACTTGAACAAGGCCGTCGCAGTTAGCAACCGCCTAACCTTATTTGCTTCGTGGATTTAACGTCTGCGTTTGACTATGTCCTACGGAATGATCTGTGAGTGATGCCGATGCACGGTATCGCTCGATTCACATCTACGAGATATACAACTGTTTATATATGTATGTGAAATAAAACCAAGTCATTCAGAATCTGTCGTTTCCCAGGAGAATATGATCAACAACAGTTACATTTGGTTTTCCCCACCCTCCTCTTCGATGGAATTCCCATTGCAGGGTTTATAGTGCATCAGATCACATCCTGTAAACTGCGTTTTTTGCAATTGCTTACCAAGATGATCGGATCAGGAACACTTCTGAAAAAGACAAGAGAGAATAGAATGGCCATTTCTAGTTCGTTAGCCGATACTAAACAGTCATATCCAACCCAAGTGGCGCAAAACCAGAGGCTACTACTTGCAACCTGTTGAAGAGAAGTCCGCTGTGCGGCTGCCGGCGTGGCTCAAGAGTTAGTCCCGAGGCAGAATGGGACGAAAAGGTCCTGCAACCGGTTGGTGAACGTTCATCAAGGAGTGCCGATATTCCCGAT